GGTCCCTTCCAACCCCACCATGCTGTGATTTGGTTTAGGATTAACATTCTAGGGATAATTCTTTGGGAGCTGTTTGTATTTAGTGTATTTATCTAAATACCTTCTTGATCTTCAAAAGTGACATAGGCAACTCCTTTTTTCTTTGTCGGATACGTTACTTCTTCCACATCTCCCCCGTTATTCTTTGACATTTGGAAATGGATCATCAGTATGTCAGTCATGACATCATCGTGCAGAAGGCCATCTGGAACACCGGTGATGACAACTGTCCTTGCTGATTTAGCAGCTTGTCCCATTGCCTGCGCAGAGAGATACGGCACACTGTGAACGTGAGTACTGGTGACCTCCTGCAGAGGTTACCCCAATTCACCTCATCCCCTTCCTTCTGCATAGACAAGTGCATTTAGTAGCTAATTAACACTGATTAATCAGATTGCAGGGAATGCCAGGCTCCATTATTGTGCAGTAAAAAATGGCCTGACTCTTAAGTGTAATTTACACCCTCTCTGTATCATCTTTTCTTAAGGCAGTAAAAATCAGATGTAAATTTAAGAGCCTCTCAAATGAAATGTCCAGTGTCACACTGATAAGGTTGTTTGCTCTAATATTCAAAATTTGAAGAGAATGAAATAATTTAATTGCATGTACTGTTAGGTAAGGATTGTCTTTGTCAGGTTCAGACTGTCCTTACTTGTTAAAGTCATGAGAGCTGGGGTCTAGGGTTGCGCTCTGACTCATCTCTCTCCGCTGACGGAATGGATAACCTTGTGAAATTGGAAGAACATAATCCCAGTCATCTGAAACTCTCAGTGTGTAAAGCAACTAACTGCACACATGATTTTCATCAGAGCCAGACCTCCCAATGCTGCAAACATGAAACCCATCCTATAATAGGATTGGCATCCACATCTTGTTAAGAAAAGCGTATTTTCTTTCCATTCTTATTACACAGACATAAACAGTAATATTTCACTCAGAGCATCACAGCAAAATTGCTTGTAAATGGTAGAACACTGAGTAAATTCTGTAACAGTTCATTGACTTTTGGGAAGAAAGAAAATAATTTAGTATGTCTGTGTTCACAGTTTCACATAGAATCACAGTGGTTGGAAATGACCTTTAAGATCACCAAGTCCAACCATAAACCCAACACTGACAATTCCACCTCTAACCCGTGTCCCTCAGTACCTCGTCTTTTAAATCCCTCCAGGGATGGGGACTCCACCACTGCCCTGGGCAGCCTGTTCCAATGCCTCAGAACCCTTTCAGCAAAGAAATTCTTCCTCACATCCCATCTCAACTGCCCTGGCCACAACTGGAGCCCATTTCCTCTTGTCCTGTCCCTTGGGCCTTGGTTGAACAGACCCACCCCCACCTCTCTCCGCCCTCCTCCAAGGGACTTGCACAGAGACACAAGGTCTCCCCTCAGCCTCCTTTTCTCCAGGCTCAACACCCCCAGTTCCCTCAGCCACAAGGGAACTCAGCACACTTGTGCTCCAGACCCTTCCCCAGCTCCGTTGTCCTTCTCTGGACCCTGTTTTCTCAGGAACCTGTTTTCTCAGGAACAAACTGTTGATAACTTCAGAGCAACTGTACTCGAGGTCAGTCACTCCAACTGAATTCTTTAGACTTCTCTTACAGAGTTTCTTCAGGACCTGAGCTACATAAAGCACTAGGGCCAGCAGAGTGGTGACAATGCCTGCAGAACATGCTGCCAGGGGCAAATGCTTCGTTGATGTGTGTCCAAAGCCTTGTGGGCCAGCACCGCAGTGTTTCTGAAGGGAGTGAGCAGGCAGATTCAATGCAACTGTGCATCCATGCAAGCTTTTAATTCATAAAGACGTGAAGCCTTTTTTTTTTTTAATCAAATGTAAAGAGCCAGGAGCTTTAATTATATTAGGCAATTCTGTTGGTGGTAACGTTTGTGCGAAAGCAAGTTCTGTGCTAATGAGACAACATGAAGAGAATATAAACAGGGTTTCTCCCAAGACTGATGGAGTTTTATGCAGGATTTTCTCACGCTTCACACAGCCGATGCAGCCCGTGCACGAGCGGGAGCACTCAGCTGCCAGACAGCATCTCGCACCTCGCCAGCTGGTATTTTGGAGCAACACTCATGCCTACTATTGGGGTTAGAAAAGGAAAACCATGAACGTTACAGTTTGTTTGTGCTGAATCACTTCTAAAAGAGAAATCTGTGTTCGGTGGCTGTTGCTGGACAGAAATGCGGAGCTGCAGAGGACAGGCTGATATGGGAGAGGAGCACACAACGTTGGTCACTGAGGACAGCAGGGTCCTGGGCATGGCCAAGCCATGTCTGATAGGACAAGGGGTGATGGTTTTAAACTAAAAGAGATTTAGACTAGATCTAAGGAAGAATTTTGTTGCAATGAGGGTGGTAAAACATTGGAACAGGTTGCCCAGAGAAGCTGTGGATGCCCCATCCCTGGAAACATTCAAGGTCAGGTTGGACGGGGCTCTGAGGAACCCAATCTGGTTGAAGATGTCCCTGCTCACTGCAGGGGGGTTGGACTAGATGGTCTTGAAAGGCCCCTTCCAACCCAAAACATTTGACGATTCAATGATTCAATCATTTTATACTCATTTTCTCACCTCTCTCTGCCCTGGTTCAAGTGACCTGATTTCCCTCCCAGGAGCACATGGACACCTGGGGCACCCTGAAACTCTGCATGAGATTTAGTCACCAAAATGTGTTTCATTCGGCACACTGCTTGTAATGTCTCTCTTAAACTAAATTATGTCCTTCTTATATATTTTATAAGCATTAATTATTGTAATTTCCCCTGCTCTGAGGACAAGCCACCCTTCCAACAGTGAAACCCAAGAGCTGGGCTGTGAAACACCGTCACTAGGCAGCAATTCCAGCAAACAATTCCTTTGTTTGGCCAGGGAGCTGCCCAGAGCAGGAATTTATTTATCACAAGATGCTTCTAAAAATGCATTTTACTCGGTGAGGGGATGTAAAAGTTCACACCTTTTGCTGTTTCTTGACAAATACGCTACACAGATCGACGCTTGACAAGAGACTGGGTATGAAGAGTCACCCACAGATCTCATCGGTTCTCATTGTTATTTAAAAAAATTGAAATATTAGAACTAGTGAGAGGGAAATCAGACCTCTTGTTGTCACTAACTAACAGGAGGGACAGCAGCGCAGGGTGTGGATGTCTGATGCCTGTGTGCCGGGTATTTCTACAGTGAGGGAATGGACAGACACATTCACTGGAGGGACGGACGGGCACATTCCTTGCGGACAGACAGACACATTCCCTCATTTCCTTCATGGCGCCGTTACTTTTATCCCTCTCAGGCTTCTAACAAGCGGTGCCGGAGCAAGGCCGCTCCTCCCGCCCCGCCTGGCCGGACCCACCCGTCGGCCTGACGGCAGCG